TTTATCTCAATATTGCCCAACCYCACTGTCACACACTGCTGGACACTGTTTGTTCCCAARGGTAATCTGTTATAGATTTACATTRACTGATWSMTTTCTGAAGGTTTCATAAAATTTACACCCATGAGATGGCTTGATAGCAGACACACACACAAACACACCAAAACAAAGACATTWTTGCTCCACCTTTGCGTTRCAGCAGCAGGTGGTGATAAAACCATTAAGTGGAATATGATCTGCCCATGACATAGACAGGAGTAGGTTGGTTCAAAAGTATGAAAACATACATATATAACCACACATTAGTTGCTTTATCAGTTTATAAAATTCCATTATCAGCTTAAAGGGCTTCAAGAGTGAAAAGAACAATAAAATGAATTTAGATTTTCATCCTGACAGATCTGTCTGCAGACTGCTGAGTCTGAGAGGGACTGAAGACTCCTTGCGGCCTCGCCTTTTGGGCTCCTTTTAACCTCAGAGACGAAGGTAAAATGAAATTTTGATTTTTGCCTCTGGTCGTCCTACAGTTGCTGACAAGATTGCAAGGACTTTTTAATGAGGATGTTGGAGTCATCCGAGCTCAAAAGCCAAAAGTTCACTGGAGTGCAACTTAGGAGCTGTAAATTTTACAAAACGTCCTTCAGGAGGGGGAGGTGTAAATATTAGTCTAACAGAGACAAGCACTGGAAAATTTTAAAAACATTAAACAGCTTTTGTGCAGTGTGTTTATAATGTAAAATCATTTTATAAAGTGGCACAAGTCAGATGCATATAATTAAACTTTGCAGTAAATGGAGATGTTCCTTGGAGGTTTGTGAACTAAATTGTTACATGTCATGTTTATCTGCATCAGGAACTTATTTCCAGTGGCAGAGCAGATTGGGAAATGGTTATTTCATTTTATTTATTGTTTTTTACATCCTACAGGCTATGAGATGTAAAATAAATTTGAAGCTGAGTTTTTGAAAAAATATCTGCGAGATTGCCCTGCAAAAACGGGGACAATCCGTGTAATTTACAGACAATTCGTACAGCTTGACATGTATGTAAATAAAAAACAAACATTTGGAAATATTTTGAATGTATTCTTGGTTAAATAAGTTGATAGCTGGTCATTGGTGTAAATTTTGGCTCAAATGACCAATCTGTGCTTTCAGGTTTACTGCCTGTAGAGCGAGACCCTCCATCACTGAAACGAGAYCAACTTTCACCTCAGCCACCGACTCAGCAGTGACCCCTGCTGCTTAGACAAAGARTTACACCTCTTCCTCCTCACCTGTTTGCCGTTRTGAGTGACGGAGGACAGGATGGTGCGGAGCGTCTTGAAGCCCATAGCGATGTCCAGAAGATGTGCAGCGAAGAAGAAGTTGTTGTAGTGTCCCAGAATGGACATGGTAGTGTACCAAACCAGATACAGGAATGACTGGTGAAGGAAAAAACTTGATCAGAAACCTGTTCTCTTTTAAAATTAAATAATAAACTACTCATAAAAAAACAGGATAGACTCCTAACTAAAACAGCTTGTATGAAACCTACATTGTCTGTGAACACCACCCCCATCTTCCAGATGTGGTACTTTGTATCAATTGAGCTCAACCTGGAGGAAGGAAATACAAAACAATTAGAAAAAGTTTTCATATTTTCAGTTTGACCTATTAAACAGTTCCAACTTTGAAACTATTTATTGCTCTAATCTCACACCATGACACGAGCGAGGCCTCCTTGGCAACAGTTTCCTCTGTGGGATTGAAATCCAGAGCACTCTTGTCCAAACCCAGCAGCTCTGCTATCCTCTCTGCACCGTACAGGTCTCCGTACTTTTTTATCACCTACAAACAGAAGCCACAGAAAATAACAGAGGAGAGGATGGAGGCTTAACGATTAGTCTGATTTGGTTTACGGCTTGTGTGCTTTATAGATTTGAGCCACTTACTTTACGTTTCACAAATTTATCCCAGTAGTTGTTGGGGAAAGAACTGAATGAAACAAACAAACAAAAAAGAGGATTTAAGTCTTTGTTTGCCAAAGATTAGGACTCAAAGTTAAATAGCAGTTTTGTGGCTGACTTACGGAGTGTTGATGACCAGCCTGTCCCACTGTCCTTTAATGTCATCATCGGACGGCTGCTCAGTGATGTAGAGGCCGGCAAATTCCAACTTCCTCGCTATCTCCTTTTCCCTCTTAAATACCACCAGAGGCACCTTATCATAAGAGAGTTAGATTTATTTATCCATTTTGTGTAATTTGTTCATCCCAAGTCAAGCGGCAGAGGTAGCAGGTTAAAAAAAACATATCTGTCTCTCCTCTGACACTCTCCAGCTCCTTCTGGTGGATCTTAAAGCTTTCCCAGGCCATGAGGGATCTGTAATCTCTGGTAAATTCTAGGTCTGGCCCCGGGTCTCCTCCCAACAGGACAKGCCAGAAAACCCTAAAACGGGAGGTGTTCAGGGAGTCGTCCTGATCAGATGCATGAAGCACCTCAGCTGAATCCCTGATGTGGAGGAGCAGAGACRATGGAGCTCCTCACCTTATCTCTTAGGCTGAGCCCCAATTTTCTTCAAAGGAAATTCATTTCTGCTGCTTGAATCTCTTACAAGTTAAATGTAGTTATTATTTAAGCCTGTAAGTTTATAAATTCTGAATTTATTTCTGAAATTATGAATAAATTCTGCCTGTAAGTATCTGAGCTGACAGAGGAAAAAACTAAGTAATGGAAGTAAAATTGTTTCGCTCATTTTTTAAAGATTTTGAGAACAAACTCAACATAATAAAATAAAAGAGGAATTGTTTATGAATGAACTCAAATGTTAGCACACAACAGTACTTACTGCAAACTACGAAATCAAACATAAAAGACTATTCTGCACCAGCAGTTTTTCAGATATATTGATAAGAAATTATGRAATGCAGGTATGCACTCAGTGTAAACAATGCACTTGTATCTGCACATTTTACTCAACAAATCTAAATGTAAACAAGCACCATTACATCAAAATCGTCTAATGTGGTATCTGATAGCTGGCAACGGTTTTCTTTAATTTTATTTTTTATTTAATGCCTTATTACTTTTAAAGGGGACATTTCATGCAAAATTAACCTTTTCCAGCTGTTAAATACATTTTGTTGTACTTGGAATCTCTAAGAGTGCAGAAAAGTTGAAGTTGGTCTCTCCTGTTGTGTATTCTATTTGGGTCATATTTTCTTAACCCGTTCATTTTTCTCTATTTTCTAAGATTTTTTTTCTGAACTATGACTTCACAGTATTTGTGGGAATTAATGACATATTTTAAATAATTTGTAAAAATATATAATAATTCTGCGCTGCTAAACAGTTGTATCTCTGTTATCAAGACAGAATGAACTGCTCTAGAAGCTGGAGGGGGCGGGGTGTGAAGTTCCTTGTTTGGATTTAAAGAGACAGCCTCAAGACGAGTTGATCTGAGACACACCTCAGGAAAGGGGTGAAAGAGCGGCTTGTAGAGTTACAATAAGGAGGAATTCAGATCAAAGCATTGCAGTTATATATATATACAGGTGCTGGTCATAAAATTAGAATATCATGAAAAAGTAGATTTATTTCAGTAATTCCATTTAAAAAGTGAAACTTGTATAT